AAGCGGGCTCAGAAGGGAAAGTGCTCTGGCGTCTGCTAACGGACGGTCTCTTCAGCCCCGCGGACTGGCTGCTCAGGCTAATGGCTCACCTCCCACCCTGCTGAGGTCGTTAAAGTGTTCTAAAGTCCCTTCCGAGCTCAAAAATTGTTTCTGCTTGCCGGGCAGGTAATAAATCTCACTGAGCCTGACGGGAATTTAATTACGCTTTCTTCACGAACACACCAGGGAGACCATTACCTGGGTCTCTGAAGCCGAAGGCCCGCAGGCCCCCGCAGCTGAAAGGTCACCAGAAACAAGGGCCTCCACGGCACAGCGGGCTGAAACCGGACCAGAGAGAAACTGGTCTGGTCCCGGCCTTGAGGGAAGGGAAGGTTTTCACCGCTGCTCGGAAACAGTCCCGTCAGTCCGGCTCCATTAACGTCTCTAGAAGATGAAAAAGGAGCTTTTGGTTTTGGTAGCCGTCCTTGCCCGCTCACTGGAGTTCCCAGAGCAAGAGGGAAGGGAGCGTGTTGGCCTGTCGCACGCCCGCGCGAGTGGCCAGAAAGCGGTCCCCCGCGGAGCAGGGTACGAAGCTCACCTCACCCTGTTCCGTGGCTCGCTGGGGCCTTGCGTTCATTACCGATGTGGTAGGAAAGAGGAAATGAAAGTCCAGACGTCTGCTGGGAGCCAGTGGGAAAGCGTCATCTGGCCTGTTGCTTTCCCACTTACGCGGCCGTGCGCGGCAACGCGGCACTGACTCCCCCAGCAGCAAACCGTCCGGAGGCCGAGGTCAGATGGAACACGGCTCTGGACCTTATTCCACAAACGTCGCCCGACGCGACGCAAACCAGGCGAGGGGGATGGAGAAAGATCCAGCAAACTGGGTCACCCGCACCCCGCGCAGAAGAAACCAGAACTGCGGCGGCAGGCGACCGAGACGGACCCCCAGGCTTCCGCGGGCCTGGACAGTTTTCCTATCGGGAGAGTCACGTGGGGCAGTTTCTTACTGGCGAATCCTTTTCTCCAAGCTCAACTCCTGACACTTTCTGCGTGACTGTTCACGGGATCACACTGCTCACTGCTCTCCTGACACCTTCTAATTTCCCTCATCTTGAAAATTGTTTTTTTACCTGTCGTGACTTCTCTTCCCACTCCCTCTCCCTCTGGAGATGTAACATTTCCTGGAATCTGTGGAAGGAGCCGTACGTCACAAAATCAGGGCTCCGAAACAGATACTCAGTGTCATAAGGGTATTGGGCTCTGGTGCCATTTCCGAGTCTCCTGAATATGGTTGCGTGGATTTGTCATCCCGTGGTACAAAACAAGCTTCTGGAGCGGGCTCACGTGGCTCCCACCGAGCGCACGGCCTGTCGCCAGGAAGAGTCCTGGGAAATGCCTGCTTTGCCATGCGGCTCTCTCATTTCCCCTGCATGTCTGCATGTTTTCGTCTAATTTGAATTTGACCCTCATGAAATCATTTTGCATGCTTTTATTTGGATTTGTCTTATAATTTAAACATTGTTTTCTTCCTCTGCATCCGTGTTTTTCTGTTATTTTGTTTTCTTTTGTTTTCACTAGGCGACCCCCTCCTGCAGTTCCAGGACGGCCATCCTAACACCCATGACTCATCTCCTTTTGTTTCCAACAACATGTCTATCCGTGGTATTTCAAAGCCTTTGGTTTGCACTACATGTCATATGTACATAAAAACTTTTATTTTTGATCCATATCTATAATAAAAACAAAGTTTATTCTATATAAAAACGAAATGTGTTCTGTTTCTTTTTCTGAAGAAGACCCAAATTAAAATAGCTCTCAGCTAAAACCAGGTAAGTGGAAAAATACGTAATTTGATCTTACAAAGAGCTTAACTTGAAAAAAGGTAAGTTAAGATGATATTTGGTGAAGGATGATAATCTATCTTCAACTGAAATGTCCGCCCAATCAAAGTATGGAAAGACAGAAGCATGTATTGGTGAGGACGTGGAGAAAAAAGAACCTTCTAGCACTGTTGCTGAGAATGGAAACTGGCGTGGCCGCCGTGGAAAACAGTATGGAGGGGCCCCAAAAAGTTAGACAGAATTACTGTATGATTCACTAATTCCACTACTGGGTATTTACCCAAAGAATACAAAGACACTAATTTGAAAAGATAAATGAACCCCACGTTTACTTAAGTGTTACTTATAGTAGCTAAATTATAGATGCGATGCAAGTGTCCACTGACAGACGATGTGGACATTGTCTGTCGGTGTATATATTTGGTGTATATACTTATACACAGTGGAATACTACTCAGCCATAAAAAAGAATGAGATCTTGCCATTTGTAGCAACACAGAAGGATCTAGAGGGTATAATGCCAAGTGAAAGATGTCAGAGAAAGACAAATACCATATGATTTCACTCATGTGGAATTTAAGAAACAAAACAAATGGACAAAGAAAAAAAAGACAAACTGAGCAACTAACTGTTAACTACACAGAACACACTGATGGTCACCAGAGGGGAGGTGGGTGCGGGGATGGGTGAACTAGGTGATGGGGACGAAGGAGTGCGCTTGTTGTGACAAGCGCTGAGTAAGATATGGAAAATGGGTTAAGCCTCTGCCTTCGGCTCAGGTCATGGTCTCGGGGTCCTGGGATTGAGCCCCGCGTTGGGCTCTCTGCTCGGCAGGGAGCGTGCTTCCCCCTCTCTCTCTGCCTGCCTCTCTGTCTACTTGTGATCTCTGTCAAACAAATAAATAAAATTTAAAAAAAAAGGTATAGAAACGTTGAATCACTATATTGTCCATCTCAAACTAATGATGTATGCTAATTACACTGGAATTTTTTTAAAAAGTGAGAAAAGATGAAGCCAAAATTCTGGATATCGAGAAAAGACAGAGAAGACAGAGTAATTTCAGCCAGCCCCCAAGGATCTCATTAATAACTGTTATTGCACCAAAACATTTATTCCTATTTTTATTACTTTTAAAACACTCCTTGTAAGAGATAAATTATGTTAAGATCATGGGAGATATTATAGGTTTGGAACACATAAACCTCACACATTCTGTTCAGCAAATTCAGGGGAAAATACATCACTCGGAATACTGGTGCAAGGAAATGTTACCACCTTGAGAAGAAAGGTTCCTCAACGTGCCAGTAAGTCACTGGAAGAATGGAATCTGTGAGAGTCTGGAGGAACAGAGAATTTTTTTTAATACTTAATCCTCAAATGGTAACTCCGATACTGAAATTTTAAGCTACCAGTGAAAGAGACCCAAACACTTATCCAAATAAGATGTTTCTTATTAAGGGAGTACATCTGCCAAATTTGCAATCTCAGATTTAAAAAAAAAAGATTTGAGATTTAGTTCAGAATTCTCTCTCAAAGGTTTACATGACCTAAAGTACAATTTAAAATGATCTCATATCGGGTGAGCTCCCTTCTCTGTATGGCTCGCTTTACCATACGAAGACAGAAAACTGCAGAAGAGGATAGCTAAGAAATTGTCCGGAATGGGGGTGCCGTGGGCCTCCTCTCCGGCCTAGGCAAGTCCTCACAAAGAAAGGCAAAGCGGCAGAGGTGGGCAGACCCTCCAGTGAAGAAATGGAGGCCCCTCACTCACAATGCTCTCACTCCGGGCCATAGAAATCTTTTGTAAGGACAACCTTCTGCACTCCAAAATGCCAAACCAGTTTCCTTCTCTGGCTAAAATGTTCGTATGGCACAAGACATCCATTTTTACTTGTATCTCAGGTCCGGTGGCTGTTAGAACCACTGGTCACGAAGAAAACCCAAAGGCACCAGCGCAGGGGATCACCTGAGGCTCACGTACTCCTGGGGAAGCTGGGCTGATGCAACGTAAGGCACGGCATGAGGTACCCGTTCTTCCCTCACCTCCCACTCTGACAGGACGTGTCCCCATCTGATGGCATCGCTATCCCAGCGGAGACATCGTTCCTTCACCTCCCACTCTGACAGGACATGTCCCCATCTGATGGCATCGCCATCCCAGCACAGACAGGGTTCCCGGATCACTTCACTCCACCTCCCCAGACAAAAGTTGTCCACTGGAAGGTTTTCACCAACTCATCTTTTCTAGGTGTTCGGTTCTTTTCCACTTTGTCTTAAACATGACCTTATTTTCATACAGTGTCACACAGTTGAGATGTTTAAAGCTTAAACTGACCCGATGAACAATGAGAAAAGAAAGCCCCAACTGCCCAAGAATGAAATGATTCCTAGCAACCTTTCGCGGCTCCACAAAAGCACCAGCCCCTCCTCACACTGAGGAGGCAACAAAGAAGGGATGAGCTGGGCTGGGGGCCGAGGGAGAAGCTGCCCGGCGCATCACTAAACTACGTCATGGTTGGTTCATATTTATTTCCCATCAAGCGTGTTTCTGTGTTTCATAACCGACTCTCCCCCAACTCTCCCTGCCCCCACCTCTGCCCTCAGTATTTGAGAGGCTGGACAAGAGCACCATTCTTCAGAGTTGACCAGACCGGATCATCATGAGGAACCATTATGCCTTTGGCAAACATGCTGTTTCTTACATCTTCTCATCCCATTATCTGTGCACCAAGCACCATGTCCTATTATGTGGTCTGGGAGCACCCAGAGAAGGAACAGGGCAGAAGCAGCTTCCAGAACAGCAGTATGCAATTACTGCACAGTGCTGTGACAAGAGAAAATTTGAGTCCTTTCCCCAGAGAGAACTGTTACTGAGTTCAGTGCTGAAGAAGCCACTTAAGTTCTAGAACCCAAATTATCCACCTGACCCAACGCATGCGGACCTTCCGGAACACCGCGATTCTGACCTCTGCCAATGAAAGGAACGACAGAACTCATTTCAGCCAATCAGAAACCAGATGTACTATTTCTATGGAATAGCCTAATACCAGACTCTAAGTCACAAAGTGCTGGCTGAGGAAAAGACGGTGGAATTGAAGCTGGAGTAGCCCGTGAGCTTTGCTGTGGCTTCCAACAGAAGGCGGCGGAATCAGAAGGCACCCTGCAGCACGCCGCCCCGGGAAGCAGCGAGGGCAGTTCCCCAGTCTCCAGCTGGAGAAATCCAGGGCAAGTAAGAGATGCAGAAAAGAGAACTAAAGGTAGGAAAAAGTAGAGAAAACTTCCAACCCTTCCCTTAGGGAGTTTCGCTGGTAAACAAACAGGGACCGCATACACGCGGACAGGAATTACAACAAACGGCCTAGGAGCCGAGAGCCGAAAGGTCAGGGGAGAACCTGTGCTCGTCCTTTACTGTCACGGACATGTCCGGTCGGCTTGGCGCAGGACACCCTTCGATCCTCTGGATCCCAGAGTTTGAAAATTATTATAGTATCTGTTTCATAGCTCAGTATTAAGTATGACTTTTTTTTTAAGATTTTATTTATTTGACAGAGACATAGCAAGAGAGGGAACACAAGCAGGGGGACTGGGAAGGGAGAAGCAGGCTTCCTGCGGATCAGGGAGCCTGCTTCTCCCTTCCCAGTCCCCCTGCTTGTGTTCCGAGAGGAGTCTCCTTCTCCCTCTGACCGTCTCCCCTCATGCTTTCTCTCCCTCCCTCTCTGACAAATAAATAGAATCTTAAAAACAAAACAAAACAAAAACAAAAACCCGAACCTCACCTAAAGGAAGGCTGCTGAAAACGAAAAATAATTTCCGCAGCCCTTCCTAACACTACAGAGTCTGTCTGCATAAATCAGACGGAGCTTGTGCCCCTGCACTACTCTGTGTCCCTGTGGACAGGAAGCCCCAGCTGCCTCCACCACCACAACACACACCCTTGTTTGTTTGCTTCTGCTCCTCTTGAATCTGATTAGACCGAAGGCTGTGGGACGCACCGACACTAATCTGCGACTCCCGTACGGCTTTTACCCAAATCGAATCTCACAGTATTTTACATCAGGTCCTGATTTTCAGGCCCAGGTCACATCTTCAGCGGACCTCCCGCACGGGGGCCACGGACAGGCAGAGAGGAAACCAAGCCTCGGCAAACTCCCCGGGTGTCAGGGAGACAGAAGGATTCCCAGGACAGGAATGGAGACGACACGGACGCGGGCTTCAGCTCTCAGAACAGCTGCTGGCAAAGATGTCTCTGAAGCTTCATCTCACACTCTGGAAGGCCCAGGGTTCGCGGCTCTTCTGGGCTGGAGCTTTTGCTCCCACTTCTCGTCTCTGAGAGAGCAGCTCAGAAGGCAGCAGAGAGCAAGTCAGAGCCAAGGAGACAGCTCCTTCTGCCTGTTGCCGTTCTCGCTTTTAAGACAAAAACGCAGCTTGCACACACAAAAGCTGCCCAGGGCCTGAGCATCTGTTTATTTTGCAATTTTAAAAGAGCGGGAGGCCCACAGCGTTCTCACTGAGCAGCGTCCAAGTGTTACTTGGGCTCCGCACAGGCCACAGGGCCGGCCCGGAGCGGGCAGCAGGGAGCCAGCCGGGCTTGGGAAAGCCGGGACAGCCGGCGAGCGAGCTTTTTACCGGGGCCCGGAGGGACCGCCGCTTCCCTCCACCTCTGCACCGGCAGAACCAATCTGTCCCACTGTCCCAGCAACACACGCTCAAGGGACTGCAGGGCTAGTCTGTGCAGGGCACATGACCTCCTGCTGATCCAGAGTGTCATCGGCACCCAGGTGCCAGTTGGTGCCAGATGGTGGCAGAAAAGGCCATTCGCCTTTCTAAGCCCCTTCCTCTGGCCCTTGGGCCCCTGCGTTACCCGAGGGGTGTGAGGCGGCACCAACCCTCCAGTGTTGCCAGGCCCCCAGCGCTGAGCAAACGCTGGGCAGCTGGGAAGCAGAAGCTTCCTAACCCCCTCATCTCGGGGATCCCCTGTTACTCACAGTAACTCACATCTGGGAAGAGAATGTGCTGTTTGGGTTGGGTTAGCGGTTGCTATTGGTTCCCTAGTAAACAGACACACACTCATCATACCTGTGAGCTGAGAAAGAAAAAAAACAAAACAGCCCAGAGCATTAGCGTGGTCTAAGCTAGCTCGCCCCAGCGGGTCTCCCCAGCTGTCCAGAGCCGTCCCCTGCTCAGGGGAGAGCACCTCCTCGGCACCGACTGTCCACAGGACCTTGGCCAAACTCTGGCTCTCATCATAGCCTCGGTCCCTTTACCCGGAATCAAACCTTCTAGAAGACTACAAGTGGCACAGCCCCAGCGATGGAAGATGGCACAGTTCTCAGGAAGTTCGTGTCATTATCCCCGAAAGGCTCTTGCTACCATGTGCATTACTCCAAGGATTAGTACCCTAGAATTAGTACATTAAACCCATTAGCAAGCAACAGCAGCACGCTCGGGAGGACAAAGCCTGCACACTCAGACCGCACCTCCCCCCGCCCACCCACACTTGCATTCTCTCCCGGCCGGCTGCCTCGAACCCACCGGGATTTTGTGATGAGCCCTTGTCCCCAGCCTACGTCCGTCTTCCAAGTTCCCCTAGACCGTGAGGTCCCCTGCACGCACTCCACGCGGTTCTGGACAAGCCCATCCTGGGCTGCTCTCCCGCCCTCCCGTACCCCAGGCCTCTGTAACCTCCTTCCCACGATCACCAGAACCCCCAGTACCTTCCACCTGTTGTCCGGGTGTGCCCTTCACGTTTCTGCTCTAACCCTAACCCGAATCCCCTCCCGGGGCTCCGCTGCCCGTGCAGGCGTCTCAGACAGCGGCAGCGCGCGCCCCACGGTCCTCGTCCTGCCGCGCCTGCGGGGCTGGCGTCCCCTCCTCGCTTCTGCGTTCAGACCATTCTAACTCCATCCGCCCTGAAACCCTTAGCTTTGGACCTCGTGGCCTCAGACTATAGCACATTCTACCCCTCACTGTCCCTTCAAGCCACCAACCCCTAGTTCACGGTCCCTCGTTCCTTGATGATTTTACCTCCTGCTTCCCTGTCATTCTCCCCAGGACTATTCCTGTCTTAGTTCTTGGGGATTTCACAGAGATATAAATCGTCCTTCCAACACCCCAGCCCACCCATCCCACTTATTTTCTTGGACTTCATTTCTCCATTGTTGCCCTCACTCTGCCTCAGCTACTCACTCCCAAAGTGACAGTCCTGTCCCTACTCTCTGCTCTTCACTTCCCAACCCTCTAACCGCGGGGACCTCCCACTCGCTGATCTGCTCCCTGCCCTGCAGCCCCGTCACGGTTCACTCCAAACCCACCTAAAATGCCGGGGTCTGTGATGACAGTCACGCCCGTGCGCACACACTCGTCTCCCGTACCTCCTCACCACCCTGAGGATATTCAACTCTCCATCTCCTCTGTTTGCACCCATGTACGCGTACGGGGTCTGGAACACACACACACACACACACACACACACACACACACACACACACAAAACTAGTTCTGCTTTCAAGTCATGATTACCACGTTCAAGTGAGCCTTTAATTCTGCTGAGCAGTTCCACTAACCATCCCTTGTTCATTCACTGCCCCGGTGCCCTATCTCCTGCCTTCTTGCTCCTCAGTCCCCCAGCACCTCCTCCCCTATCATCACTCAGCTGATTCTCTGCCTCCCGCTCCCCAGGAAAATTGAAGCAATCAGAAAAGAACTTCCCCAAATCCCCATCACCTCATCTACCCACTTACCATCTACCCTCTCACCGGCATTTGCATCTACGTATCTGCCTTCCGCTCGTGAGAGTTACCACAGGTAATGGTCCTGTCCTCTGGCCGAAGCCAGGCCCTCCACTCGTGCACTAGACCCCTTCTCCTCTTACATGCCCAAGAATATTCCCACTGTCCTCTCATCGACTACTGCTTTCCACTGTTTCACTGCCCTCAGCATACAAGGGTGGTGTCGTCTCTCCCATCCCAGATTTCCGTCTGATCACAGCTGATCACCTCCTCTCTCTCGAGTCGTCTGTACTCGGGTCCCAGGACTCCAACTTCCAGATCGATTTGCTTGTTCTTCTCCCCGAACTTTTAATTTGGAGTTCTTGGTCCTCTTCTCAGTTCCTGTCAACCTCCTTAGTGACCTCATCCAGTCTCACAGCATTTATAGACCAACAATTCCCAAATGTGATTTCCACCCCATACACTGCCTAAAATCCAAACTCGTCGAACTCTCTACTCAACATTTCAGCCCTTACATCTACATTTCATACCCTACATACCTCCAACTGATTTTCTTCCCCAAATTTCCACCCGGGTTGCCTTGACTCCCAGCTCAACTTATCACATCTCTTTCTCTTTCAATTTCTCAGGCCAAAACCCTTAAGAGTCATTTATGCTTCTTCTCGTTTTCATACCCCACATCTAATAAGTCAAAAAGCCCTTAACTCAACTTTCAAATGATATCAGCATGTGACTCCTTTCGCCACTTCTGCTATCACTGTGTTCTGAGCACCATCATCCCTGCCTGGGTGACTCCAAGCGCTTCCTAACGCTGCTTTCTGCTCTCGTCTTGCCCCACAGCAAAACCAGAATGTGCCTTCCTAAATGTATGGCAAATCATGTCCCTCTTTTTCTCCAAGCCCCTCCAATGGCTCCCACCTCCGAGTAAAAGCCAGAGTCCTTTCACTAGCCCGCAGTGTCGTATGTGATCTAGAACCCCACATCACCTCCTTGGCCTTGTCTTTTGTTCCCCTTGGTCATCCACGTCAGCCCCTCCCTGCTCTTCCCCAAACATGCAGGCAGCCCGGGGTCTTCTGCCAGCGCGAGTACAGCAGCTCTTCCCTCTGCCTGGAATGTTCGTCCCCTGGGAATCTGAATGATCCGCTCATCTTCAAGTCCTCGGTCAAATGTTACTTACGAGACCACCCTGACCCCTTATTTAACACCAGTGATACTTTCCCCCTTTTCCCCCACAGCATGTTATCTTCTACTTGGGTTTGTTGTCTCTCTTCCGGTAGAAGGTGAGCTCTACTAGACAGACGACCTTTGTCCACTTTGCTCCTAGATCTATCTCAAGCACATAGAACAGTATCTGTCACATAGTTAGTGCTCAGTGAGTATCTGCTGAATGAATACATTCCTGAGGCCAAACATCATAAAATGTGAATGGCAGAAAGTGAGTAGAGATCAACATGGGTGGACAAGAAATATTTTGCTAGATGTTGGGGGTAGGAATAAGGGAGAAAGGGGATAAGGAATTGGAGAAAGGATTAAAAGCAACTGCCTACCAGTCAGCCTTTGGCCCTGGATGCCATTCAGCTATCAGAAAAGCAAAGTATCAGCCCAAACTGGCAATACAGCCTTGGGCACGTTCCTGGCTCACTGCAAGTCTCAGTCCCCTCAACTGTAAAATGAAAATAATACCTGTCTTACAAGACTGTTAGGAGAAGTATATAAAATAAGGCATATAAAGTGCCTAATGCAGTGCCTGGTGCTTGAAAATGTAGCCGTTCTCATTTATCATATCCCAGCATGCTATTTATTTCCTGAATTTTGGGGGACCTCAAACGATGTAGTTATTTCTCAAACCACAATTCATCAAGAATTCCAAGACTGTTAACTTTCATTACAAAAAGTATCAGTAAGTTCCACAGGATGGCACTGTGTGCCAGCCTGGTTTCCCCGCGTCCAGGGGGTTTGAAATAGTGTAAAATTGTGTGACTGGTGCCCTCTGCTGGCTCTTCTTTGCCTTGATCTTGAGCCTTTGGCTTAGATGTAGAATGGCTCCATGCCTCCTTGAACGCGCTCAGCATGGATTCTTTAATCCACAGTCGAAGCCAGCTGCCCACAGGCTCCCTCAAAAGTTTCCAGCCCTGTCATGGTACAGAAGCGTAACCCAGACACCAAGCTGGTCACCGCACAGAACCAACGTGCTGCTCTCCTCAGATCCCCGCACAGCCTTCTAGCTACCTGCCAGTCCTCTCTGTGAGCCACATCGTGGCCACAAAACAAGGCACAGCCGCTGCCCTATAGCTCTGCCTCTCCCTGATCCCTTCTGTCCCAACCACAATGGTGCCATTTCAGAGGGACAGGCAAAGCTACCTCCTCAATTCCCCCCTCTCTGCTCTCACTCGCCGGCACCACCCTCCATCCAGCGGTACCTATCGACCACAAGGTTGAGAGGAAGCAGAGCTGGGAGACGGGTGCAGAGAAGGGAGGGCTAACAGTTTCCTATGCAAGCAAGCATTTGGTTTGGGATTTTAATTCTAAGGCTACTGCAATACCTTCTCCCTACCTTTCTCCTTTCCCTTCCCACACGCACCATAATATCCTCCAAAATCTAAGTCATTAATGTTCTGCTTGCACTCTTCCAAAGTAGCTTGAATTTAAGAGACTGGCTGCGTCACTGTGCTTTAGGGATGAGTAGCTTTCCCAATGACTGTCACACCAGGTCATACCCATCGTCATCCAGGCCTGTGTCCCTGTGCCAGCAGCAACCCCAAGCAGTGCGCCTAAGGGAGCCTCATCATCCCTCGGGAGCACCGCATATGGGCTTGGGACTTCTTAACATTTTTCTTATAAAATATTTACGGCTTATTTGTATTTTTTCCCCAAAATCTTTTTGGAATCCATTTATGTCCTTGGTGTGGGGAACTTCTTGGAGCTACACGCTGAAATGGCACAAAATTATACTTTCATTTGTCTGAAACACACCCTACTCGGATTTCAAAGGGTGTCCTCTCCCACTCATGATTCGGTGAACAAACCAACATTCCCCTTGACCCTTGTCAGTGTTAGAGGTGATGACTGTATCTCTGTTGAGCCTTCCTTCCAGGCCGTGGTGTCCAATTCTCTAATCTGTTTTCATAGGGCATTCTTTCCCTTTGGTTATCATTTTGATTTTTTAATTCTGCGTCTGTAACCCATCTCTAATTCCTCTATAGCCTGGTTATGGGGCAACCAATTCTGTACAAAGAATTCCAAGTACAAAAGCACTAGATTGTTTAGATCTCAATACCCTTCTAGAATATGCCCAGAATGTAGAGCCAGTGTCTTCCAGATACATGTGCAACACCTTAGCCTGAGTGTCCCATCTGAGACACCTCAAACTTAATGTGTCCCATTCTTATTTTATCTTCGTCACCTCCAAATCTGTTCTCACTTCTTTTTCATGGAATAGTGAATAAAACAGAAATCTGCTTAAGAGGCCCCACTCATCCTCTAGTCCCTTCCATTTCCCAACATGAGTCTCCCAACATCTCAAAGAATCTCTGGCATCAGGCCCCTCATGTCCACGCCCACCATCGTCACCACCCTTCATCCAGACACTCTGCACCACTGCCACAGAGGTCCCCACGCTCAGCCTTGTAGTTCAGCCTCAAGACTGTGGCCAGAATTTTATTTATGTATATATGCATAAACGTGTGTTCAGTAGGAATCTTATATCCCTTTTCAAAAACCCTTAATTTGCACTGACTATAGGACACGCTAATTCAAAGTACTCAGCACTTTCAGACCTCAAGCCCTCTCCCTACGGCCCGTCTATTCTGTGCTTCTGTCCCCTCCAGGATGAAATCGGGACCCTGAACGCTTTGAACGTGCTGTTCACCCTGGTGGGAATATCCTTCTCGCCACATTTCTACCTGGACCGAGTTGGCTGTCTGACCCTACACCCTCACATCCAACCCTCAACTCCCCATCCCCCTGCCTCCTCCACACTCAACCACAACCGCCAAACGAACAGGATCAGGCCTTGGGGGGCTCCACATACTATATACAGCGTGACGGAGAAGAGTTGAAAATGACAGCGCAGGCCCATTAATTCATCCCACTGAAACTACTCTTGAAAATGGTTCAAATCTGGAGAACTTTCTATCATCAAACTTTGGTTCAAATTTGGAAAACTTTCTGCTCATCAACATGCATGTGGCTGCTACGTGAGTTCCATGAGGTTGATCATCAGAAACACATTCAAATAAGGCAGATGTACTAGGATATAAAGAAATAAAGCACAATTTTATACAATTCTTTACTACCGTCAACCATTAACACCTGCCCTGTTCCTAATGTGAGCCACACTGTAACTAGGAGCCAGTTCTGGGCCCTCTCAAGGCATGAAAAGGCCACACCCAACACAGGCAGTAGATGGATGCCCCGAGCTCAAGTCACTTTCCAAGATCCGTCTCTCCCCATGAGCCAGTGCCTTGGGACTGCGAAAAAAATCTAACATGCCTTAGGGAAAACGACCCATCCTGATGAAACACTATACTCATCAGTCCAAGTTCAAGTCGGAAAAAGAATGATGTGAGGTGAGAGAACTGAAGACACTAGTTCACAACCCTGCTGAAGACGAGACTCTGAGAAATCTATGTCCAGAGAAGAAGAAAGCAGAACTCTTTTGGAAGATGACGACTCGGATGAAATTTCTGACTTGAAGCTAATCCCTAGTGAGATGGCTCAGGGACCTGCCCCCAGTGACTTATTTCAGGAGATACCAGCTGCTCTGGGAGGTGCCTCATGCTTTTTGTACTCTATCCTCTTCAAGTCCTCCTACAGGTCAACTTGGTAACAGGAACCGCTGACGTGACTGCAGTGTGACGTGACTGCGGTGTGACGTGACTGTGGTGTCAGTGTTCCTGAAGCATTCTGCCTAGATCTCAATTACCACAGTTCTAGAGGTAATACTTCCATTCCCACTTTACAGGTAAAAAACGAGACACAGAGCAGTTGCAGAATTAGCCCATGATCTAATCATCTCCTCCCTCCTACATAAGCTGGATTGCTCCCAATGACATGCAGTGGGAACCCCAAATTCTTGTCACTCGAACCTCCCGTTCCAACTTTTCCTCCAGTCCCCATAACCCTAAGCCCCCGTGAAATACTTTCCTACCTTTGTGCGGCCCGAAGAACAGATGTGGCACAACGGTGGCCAGAGGCTGTATCCGAGCGTAGTTTCTGTCAGAATTTAAATTTGACAGAATTTACAAGTCAGATTCCACAAGAAAAATCCCATTTGCAGCTACTGAGATTTCATTTCGGCGTTTACTCAGAATTCTACAGATCTGCAGCCAGGCCCACATTCTGGCCAGAAACCCTCAGCTGGAGCGGTGGCTCCCCTCGCTGGCCAGGGTGTGCTCCGTCCCGGGCTCAGCTGCCATTCGCCGCACGAAGTCTACTGGCTTCCCTTGTTCATATTACTTACCTGGTTCCTAAAGGCCTTTGCCACCTTGCCCTAAAACCACCTTTTACCTCAATCCCAGTCTCACCTCCAAGACCAAGCTCAAAGGCCGCCTCCTCTAGTAAAGAGTTCCCAACTGTGTCCGCCTCTCTGAATGCCCGGCATTCTGATTATGTATCGTGACATAATCTGATTATGTATTATGTGATTATGATTATGTGACACCTCACACTCTCCCTTGCAGTTAGCCTGTCCACGCCTCCCTGAGGGCTGAGGAGAAGCCCGGAGTCAGGGTGAAGTGACAATTCTGTAATCTTAGCCAGTAACAGAGCACAGCATCCAGGATTCTCACATTTGAGTTCTACATAAATAAAGGTAGAAGTGACTTTCCACATAAACCCACATATTTTCGTTTTCTCTTCACTCTCCATGCCCCTTCCGTCAGCCTCCAGCTGAGAGAAAAATCGTGAGACAACTTAATGGGTGTGTTGTTACTTTTTTTTTTAATAAATAGAAACCACATGACTTCATTTGTTACAGTGAGTGAGAGGCAAGAACTCAAGAGGGCCCCAGGAAGCTTCTTCATCCACAAAATAACAGAAAGGACAAGCACCTTCACCACCCACGCCTTTGGTTACACGTTTTTCTTTTGATCTCCACTCCCCGACCCGCATCGGTACATTGCTTCCAGAATGGGACTCTGCCTTCAAATCCTACATTAGTGGGGAGGCCAGTCTAGCAGCCTGCCCTCCTAACAGAATGGGAGTCTCTAACTTAGCTGAGAAACCGGGACAAGTCTTCTTTGATTTCAGCCTCATCCCAAGGCCCATGAATGTTTTCTTTGAAAAGCTGCAGGCGAATGAGGTAGAAAGGGCAGAGACAAGAGATGGAAACCAGCAGAAGGGCGAAGAGGATGGCTCCCACAGCACTGATGGACAGGAGGCCTCCCAAGGCTGAAAACGCAAAAAGCAGCGTCACTCCCACGTAGCTGCGGGGAGTACACGCCTTCAGTTTCTTCTGTAACATGGGCCACAGGGCAAAGATCTGGATGGCAAATGTCACCATGATGAAGGCATGCAGGGACCGGGGCAGGCGTGACGCGAGGCAGACGGAAGCGAAGATGGCCATATTCAAGGACAGCGTGCTGGATACAATGGCGGCATTGGCACCATAGTCGAAGAAAATGAGGTGGCCTAAGAGCATAAAGACCGACATGGCATAGATGGTGTCGGTGCTGACGGACTCCGTCAGGGTCTTCAGCACTGGCGAGAAACCGTATGTGAAAGTAACGAAAACGAGGGCGCTCTTCAGGTCAGCCCACCGCGTCCTCCCGCTCTTCTTCCGTCCTTCACCTCCGTCGATGAGATCAAACAAAACGTAGCCAATCAGTGAAGAAGCCAGCCCAGTCCCAAAAAGCCACTGGGGGGCCAGAAGACCCTCATCCAAATACCACCAGATAACGACGAAAACGCAGACACTACACAGCTGCTGGACCACCACACTGGACTCGAATACCACGGCCCAGTACTGGTATTTCCGGGCGTAGATGTTCTTCCGGAGCTCCTCCAGGAAACGCTGGTCCACGTAGTTATCAGGAAAGGGCTGACGCTCATACAGGACCTTCTGCCACTTGGCCTCCTTCACGTTCGTTACAGGCTGGGCGCACATGATCCTCTCCCTCAGACGCAGGCCGGTGCAACCTCCCTCGCACGAGTCCAGGTGGCTCTTGCTCTCTACGAAGTTTCAAAACAAGACCTTTCTGGAAATTCCATGCCGTGCTGCGGCTGATGTTGTTCCAAGTTTCAAAGGCAGCAACCCAGGCCAGGCCTCCAGTAGATGAGCTCGTTCTCTGAACCAAGTTCCTAGAAAAAGGAGGACTGTGAACCTATGAAAGCTGTGAAAGGTCAAGGGAAGGACCGAGTTAAAATCAAACCACCTCGGTGTATTAAAAGTTGGAGCAAAACACATGCGGTGGCCACTTCATTGTGGACACTGACATTTCGTCTGAGACTCGAAGTTATAACCCCAAGCACACGACAGCGGTCTGTTAGCTCTAACTTACCGAGCGCCTTCTGGGCTCCCTCCACTCAATCCCCACCTCTGGGGTTAGCATTAGCTCCCCTGTAATTAGCAAAATGCCTCCTTCTGAGTAAAAACGCACACACCTGAGGTTCAAACTGCTCAGGTAACCTCAGACCCAATCAATAGTGGTGAACAATGGAGCCAAATTCAAACCCACGTCGGACCCCAAAGCCTCGGCCTCCCAACACGTCTGCCTCTAAACCAGTTACTCGGGGTTCACATACCCCCGAGGCCTGCGGTGGGCTTCAGAGCCCCCCAAACCCTCCCTGTCACTGTGTCCTTCAGCGGCAATTAATGCAAATTCCTAGGGACAGGATCCGGAGCTTCTATTTACTGAGCTCTCAAAGGCATCGATTACTACTTAAAAAAGAGGTAAGGCGGCAGCCTGAAGACAACAGTAAACCGCACAACACAGAAGGGCCCGGGCTCAGATTTACTGGCGGAGGGACTCGGAAACACCAGACCCTTTACCCAGGGACCGGACTTACCCGCCTTCCGATCACACTCTGCTGCAAAGGACTCTCGGGCGCGAACACAACGGCTCCTCCTGCGCAGTGAAAACCGCGGGGTCAGAAACAGCGGGGTCGGCCAGCGCGTCCGCGAAGGAGACTCCTCCGGCCCGACCCCATGTCTCCACGGAGACCGCGACAGGTGTCGCTGCACCGGGAGACCCTCCCTGCAGCACGGACCCCAGCCCCGGGACCCCCCGGCCGCCGCCCGGGCCGCGCAGCCGAAAAGCGCAAGTCCGCGCCGCGGGGTCCGACCGGGCTCCCGGGGCGCCCCACGCACGCTCCCGAGCCTGCCCCGCCCGCCGCCGCCCCCTCACTCACCAGCCTGGGGCCCGCGGGGGCCGGCGGAGGACAGAGCGGCCCGGAAACACCGGCTCCCGCCCCGGACCCACCTGCCCGCACCTGCCGGGGCTGCGCGGCTCGCGGAGGGCAGTTGCCGCCTCCTTCCCCCTCCGGGGCGCCGAGGTCGCGGCGGCGGCCGAGCACTTCCGGGTCCGCCACCACCTCCGCGGCGAGAGCGCCCCCGCGCGGCCGGCGGAGCTGCGAGCTCGCTGCTGCCCCCTCCCGGCGGCTCGGAGACCTCGCGGCTCCCCCGGGGCGGACGCCCCTTCAGAGCCGAGGAAAAAGCGAGCGCCCGACAGAAGGGCGGGATGTGGCTTGGGCCGGGGGCCGGGCTGACCAGGACAGATCGTGAAACCCGCTCTCCTGCGCTCCCTCCACGCGTCAGGCGCTCAGCTGGGGCTCCCGGGCGTCCGCGAACGCCCCGCGCGCATCCCCCGGGAGTGCCCGCAGACGCCGCTGGGGGCTCCCGACTCCGCAGGGACCGGAAGAGACGAACTCCCGGCTGCCCTGGAGCACCGGCCGCAGGGGTGGCGTCTCCCGGCGCGCGGCTGCGGGAGGGCAGAGCCCCCGCCGGAAAGCGCAGTAGCCGAGACGAACGCCCACCGCCTGGGCTGCAGGGCGCGGTTGTCTGCCCTCGGCCGCCGGGAAGGGGTGGTGGGGCTGCGGCAGGAAAGTCCGAGGCCGGTGGGCGGTTGCTCGCGCTCAGCCGACTTCACGGGGGCCGAGCGGGCGGGAGGGATGAAGCCGCAACGCGACGGACGCGGGGAAGGCAAGACGCGGCGCGCGCCGAGGTCCGCGAGGCTGGTCCGCGAGCTCGCGGCGCGACTCGGCCGGTCACCGCGCGGGGCTCCGTCTGCCCGTCCGCTGCGTGCGGGGAGCGCGGTTCGCTCTGGGATGCTCGGCGGGGCTCGGAGGGCTCAGATCACAGCACCGGCCCGTAGCGCGCCGGCTGCCCCGCAGCCTGCGTGAGCCGCCTCGGGCCCTTGCTGCGCTGGCCGGGCTCGGAGGCAGTCCGGTCTGCAACGCGATCCCTTTCCATTTCTCTCCAGGTGTCTGTTCCCAAATTTGGCAAGATTCCTTGGCTTAGTGAGGCCAGCCTCGTGAACAAGCCGTTAGTGCTCAGCCTCCCCAAAAGGTAACAGCTCAGCCCCTGGGGGCAAAGGTTGCAAGAAGGACCTCCGGGAAGGTGACTCCTGAGGGTCGGTTACCAGAGGGGCAGGTCCGGTCCGTTGAGAAACCCAAGAAGAGGGTTCAAAAACCAGAAGTGGCCTGGGTTTCTCGGACAAGAGTGGGCTTGGCGGGGGGGATGCAGCCTCCACCAGCCGTCCTCTCCGCGGCCATCGCTCACCAACACAGACATTTGCCCCTGGATGCTGCCTGTCCGACGCTTCTGCTGTCCTCGCCGTCTTACTTTGTCTCCTCTCACTTTAACCACCAGAGTCGAGAGAGTAGCCTCCGCCCCAACATCCCTTTGAGGCAGTCTCCTCCCGTCTCACCAGCCCTTCCACTTCCGAACAGCTATGGGACGTGATTCTCTGTTTCAGAACTGGAGGTGTTGGTGTGTTTGCAACATTTGAGCGCTGACGCTAGCAACGACCTGGCTTCCTCCCTCTTCCTCCCCGTTCGGTCCCTGGCTGTGGTCCTACTCGCTGCTCTGGGGAGGGGGAGTGGAAGGAAGGGGAATGTGAGGTAATGCGGGGGCAAATGGGAGAAACCAGAAGGGACTGCGGAGACACGTGCCCTCCTGCCCACAGGTGAGCGAGTCCCCGCGACGGACACTCTCCCCACATCCCCTCTTCGACTGCATGGATGTGTATGCGCTGCTCCCGTTCTCTGTAAGCAGCCAGGCCGCTGTGTGCATTTTCAGAGCCCCCTCAAGAGCTTCCTGCTCTTTCCTGCTACTTTTACTTAACTTTTTATCTAGCTAATAATAACTTCGAACTCTAGCCAATGTGAAATGGCCGGTGGTTTCTGTCTAACTAGGGTAAGAGCTCACTATCCCCGCTCAGCCCTGTTCCCATCAGATCTGCTCCTGCAGCCAGGAGGAAGGCACCACCGGGCATGGCTCTCCTGTTCCCGGATTGCACAGTTTTGGGGTCGGGCGTAGGGAGGGGGAACAGGACAGGGAACGGGACTGAAGAAGGCAGCCCCAGAACACAGCCAGGTCCTGGAATATCAGAAGGGACAGACTATGGACAGTCTGAAGGGAAGGGGTAGTTTTCCCTCTGGCCAGCTAACCTTGAGCTGGTCCTAAGGAGAAATTACCTCAGGGTCCGTGAAGCTCTGCTCACTTCTGAACGGACCTTGGGCGGGGATCTCAGCCCACGTGAAGAGAAACACGCTTGTCTACCTCATAGACACTGGCCGGACAGACTCCCGGGATGGTGCCCGGAGCTTTCAGGGAGACAACACCGGAGTGCAAAGTCCTTTGAAAGGATGGTTTGTTTAAATATCAGCAATTCTTCAAGATTAGAAACTCATCCAGTTAAAGCTCTGGGTTCCAGGCTGTTTGTTTTTGGCAAAACCTTTTCCTCAGGCCTCAGTAAGATAGTGATAAATGTGCTTTTAGCATTTCCTAGTTTCGGACAAGCAGTTCTAACGCAGAACAGTCTGAAAAAGAGAAAGACACTTTCAGTGAAATGTACTCAGAGCCCCCCCAGAAACACACGTACAGGCTGGAGGACTGAGGCCCGGCTCAGAACACCGGGGCCTCCACAGACCTCCTTCCTTCAGAGAAGACGGTCTTGCCACCCAGAAGCCACACTCATCCTGGGGCTCGGAAGCCCCCAGGTCACACTGAGGCCCTGTTGATCGGAGATCACTGAGGGCTCAAGCAGCTCGAGAGTGGCCTCTGGTCTCCCTAGGTCAGCATTTGGATGTCCAGTCCAAGGCAGGCTGTTCCAGGTCAAAAACAGTGAAGGGGCCGGGTCAGACCCACCACCCCTGTTCCACCAGGGCCCCGGGAAATGGTGAGCAGAAGTGAAACTGCGAATGCCTCGGGGATACCAAACTCCTTCCACATGCCTGAGTTATAAATGAACAATGAACAATGACCTCTTTCCTCGTTAGAGAGGTGTTCTGGCATGCCGAGTTTCCATTTCTGGAATGCCAGGGGCATGCACAGTGTCGTACACACAAGCAGTTTAGGACAACCTGCCCCCCTACCTGCCTTGGCCTCTGATATTGTAATAAAATGAAACAACAGCCGCAAGGCAGGTCACACCCTGTGAGGAAAACTGATAGGATCCCTGCAGTGTCACTGCTCCACCCCCTGACTAGAAATAAAGAATGTTCCAGAGTGGTTGGAAGAAGAATCTGTTCCTTGGGAAGAAATGAGTAGACGCAGTGCCCAAGGACACAGACTCCCGGCATGGAAGAACCCTGCGCTTATTAAAAATGAACAACTTCTACACACACAGCACTTCCAAGGAGATCTGGTTGCATTTCACCCATTACACATCTGCTCTTAACGAACAACTTTTCCCTGCCTTTGTACACTGTCTCTGACACTTCATTGGTTAGTTCAAAACAAAAGGACAGAGAAGCTAGAGTGACGTACGAGGGCAAAGCCATCCTTTGGAAGCTGCCAAATGGTCTGTGCCCTTCAGGACTGGGGTGAGAAACAACTCCCTGGGTGTCCCCTGGGTTATCTGTTGGCAAGGAGAAACTTTCTTCCGACCTTCAAGTTTCTTCTGGCTGGTCTGAGAATCAGATCGACCTGAGACACATTAATAAGGGAAGATCAAATTTAACTTTGTACATACAGGAACCCATGTGAGATTCCAAAGACAGTCATACCAAATGACTATATATGTCATCCTGAACTAAGTAAGGAGAAGGGGTTGGGGAGTCAAAGGGAAGGAAAACAATTCACAGGAAGAAAGGAAAGAGTAAATGTTCTGTAAACAAATGTTTGCTGGGCCACCAAGAAACAGTGGGACCCAGAGATGAATTTCAACAGACTTTGCTAAATGCCTCCTGGGCTACCTTACCTAGGTGATAGTAAATTAGTAGTAAATAGTAAATAATCTATGGTGATAGCTCCCTTCCCGGGAACAGGGCCTCTATCTAAACTCTTTTGGCAGTTAAGGGGAAGGTCAGCATTTCTTCCCAAGTCTTTTGGGCCTTGATGGTTTTCAGCTCAAAATAATCTGCAGGCCAGAGTGGTCCATCTTGGGGTTGTCTGTTTTGACCCCTGTGTCTCTGAACCAGCCAAGGGCTTGGCTCTTCAAACCAGAGATTGTGGTTCTAACTGGCTTTGTTTTGATTACTTCAGATATCCTCATGCCTCGGCCACTTTTCTGATTTCATCCAAGAAGGATATGAATTTGCCTATTTTGTTTCAAGTTCCAGATGTCTTATCTAAGGTACTCAATTTTTGCTTTTTCATTGAAAAGACACCCACCGTGGTTCTAGTATGACATTGAGTGTACATACAAAGCCGTTTCCTATCTCCTTAGCAGAGCCCTGGGCCTAGAACCTCATCACTCTTCCATAGACAGCTGAACGAAATAAATAAATAAATGAGCACCGCAGGCTCACCCAAGCTCCAGGGCACTGGCCCTAAGAACAAAGGTCACAGTCATCAAAAAGTGAAAACAAACACACACATTCCTCTTGAGAGACAGGCCCAGAGGACTTCAGGGACTGCTGTTCAGCGTGTCCGGAGCCAGTCCTAGCTCCTGGAGCCTCTGACCCTTATGTCTCTCACGTACAAGATCCCACACCTGTGGAATTTCCTGTTGTCGTCCTCCTATCCCCTCCACCTCTCCGAAATCAACTGTGACTGGTTCTTGGGCGACACTCCTTACACTGGAGCACCCCAAGGGTTCCCGATCTTAGAGGTGCCGGTGCAGTCAGCAGTGCAAGGAGACAGAGGGAGGGAACTCCTGGGTGGATGAGGGGTTTCTCACCTGAGAAATACACAGGGCTAAGCACTTGTCACAGCGCCCATTGTTGGGATGCCCTATCGTGGGGACAGCTCTGCTCTGCGAACCTCCATCGGCCGGCCATCGTGCGCCTGCTTAGGGAGGCCTCCTGTGGGTAGCATAGATAGGAAGAGGGGTGAGTCCGATGTCACCTCCATGAATGGGTGCACAGACTGCACAGGTGCACAGCCGCCCTGCGAGGGGGTGGGAGGGACAGGACGGGTGGGCAGGGAGCAGCCGGGAAGGGTTCCAGAGGAATGGGCTTCCGCATTCAATCTGGCAGGTGTTTCCACAGAGGGGGTAAGCACCAGGGAAGCACAGACACCGACCTGAGCTTGCAGGAAGGGCTTGAAAACATCAGAGAATCTGGCCGCAGCAGCGAGGCATTAAGACTCTAGACCCCCGACCCAGTGGGCAAGAGGCCAGAGGGGAAAGCACAATGGCCAGGGAGGGGGGCGGGGAGCACCGTCTTCCGCAGAACTTAGAATTTCATGGTGCGATGCTCACGGGTGACCACTAGAGAGCAGCCAAGAGCAACAACGTTCCTAGCCTGGGCCCCGGGGGGTGAGACCCGCTGGGAATCCGGGGTCAGTACTCCCGAGGGATGGGAGAGCAGGGGGTGGCGGGAGGGACCTCCTCGCCCTCGTCCTCCCCTGTCGGGGCCTGGCCCTCCACCTGCCTCTCTCCCTCTACCGCTCTCTGCGCCTGTGTGAGAAAAACAGTGGCCCTTGCAGATTGGAAGGGCAAGGAGGTGTGGAGAAGGCAAAATTTTACCTTCGCCGTCTTAGGGTGTTTGGCTGCCCCAGAGAGTTAACTGATGTAAGGTTAACGGAGGAAGGCACCCCCCTGTGTTTAGTGTAAGTTTTACGTGGCACAGGAGCCCTCCCGAGGAAATGACCCGGAGAAGTGGCCACACCTGAGTGTTTGAGGCAGGGCTGAGCAAAGAGAGGCCAAGGTGGGAAAGTACCTAAGACGGCCGGGGCAGCTAAAGGAAGATCGCAAGTATCTAACAGGGTCTGCGTGTCCGGAGTTGCACAGAGCTGCCTGGGACCACGAAGGCCTCCCCTCGGACCCTGTGAGTGAAACACAGGCTTGGCTGGCAGCTGCTCCTTTCTGGAAAGAAACCATGCTGTATCTGGTGGGAGAGGAAAGCACTGTGGACCCTGGACGCTCTATCTCTTCCTGTAACCTCCAAATCAGGGACCCGCCAAAGGGCTCTGGCAGCACGGCAGCCACCAGACGGCCTGGCCTCTGGGACTGGTGCGAAGGTCATGCCACCTGGCTCCGTTCCCTGTCCCAGTCACAGGTCAGAGGGCAGAACTTGGAACACTCACGTTCCAAGGGGCACCCCTGCCCTGCCCAGGAGACGTCCTGTGGCGGAAGCGGGTGTCTGTGTGTCTGGCTGGGGCAATGTTCACTGATGGAGAGAGAGACAGAAAGGAAACAGGCACAGAGACGGAAAGACAGGGAGAGGAAGATAAACAGCAAAAAAAAAAAAAAAAAAGCAGAAGCTGAGAGAGACCCAGAGAGGTAGGCAGGGGCACAGAATACAAAAAAGGAAACAGAAGAGGAAAGGCAGGGCTGACAGAGAAGAAAAATGTAAAATGAACCCAAAGACGTGGAACCCCAACCCTCCCCCATTTAGGCAAGGGCCCTGTGGAGCTGCAACTCTCAGGCTCGACTTTCACTGCCCGGGGCAGGCGTGGACTCCTCCAGATGCCCTGAAATCCCGGGCACTGGCACCAGGGCAGAAGGGAGGCCCAGAGCTGACTTGCTCAGAGTTCCCCAGCCAGGCAGCTTGGAGGGTGGGGCCCACACGGGGGCTGCCTTGGAGACCCTGGGCCTACTTGCAGGGTTGGGTCCGCTGTGCAAGAGTCGGCTCCTGCCCCCGCTCCCTCCCTCCTGTCTTTGATCCGGGTTTGTTGTTCCAGCCCAATGAGTCAGAGTCCAGAGGGGAGCCTTACTTGGGCCGCTTTCAGAGACCTGTGACGAAGAGCGTTGCCTACCACCGAGCTGCAGGGCTGAGACGTGGCTGGGAAAAGGCACAGGACGGCAACTCCCAATTTTCTCACCACCTAGAACTCCTTTTCTTTCTTCTGTCTCCCTGAATGAGCTTTGGAGAGCCCGTGACCGCCACAGAAACTACCCTGCGTACTCCTCAGGCCTTTTCCCGTGTCTATGGACCAGACACCTGTAACTAAAGATAGGATTTTATTATTATTTTTTTAATATTAGAGAGGTGGAGAGAGTGCACAAGTAGGCAGAGCAGCAGGCAGAGGGAAAGGAGACTCAGGGCTTGATCCCAGGTCCCCGGGATCATGACCTGAGCCGAAGGCAGGCGCTTAACGGACTGAGCCACCCAGGCCCCCTAAAGATAGGATTTTAAAAGAGAGGTAATAATTACTACCACTGATCTGATGGTAATACAACCCACGTGTAAGAAGTCCTAACAGCATACGCATGGCTGTTGATAATACTTTGTGTGGGTCTGAAATGTTTCTGAGTCAACCGACGAGTATTTGAAAAACTGTATTCACTTTATTCTTTAATGGAGATGGCTGGTATTTTCAGACCGCAGGAAAATGTGTAATTATCGGAGGGTTTTTTGAATATTGAAAATAGCTCTCTGATCACTTTTTTTCCTAAGGGGTGTATGCCCTCATACAGACCCTAAGAATCCACTTTCTCCCTGACAAAAGGTAATCTTCTTTTGGCCCTTTAACCAAGGAAGTTTCTGGCTCACTGAAACTAAATACATGTATGGTTGGACCAAATCTCTCAACCCTTCTGGGTCACAATTTCCTCGTTGTGTTCATTGAAAGAACTGAACTAGAAGGGCCCTGCGGGGTGTCTCTCATGGAAGGCGGGAGTGGAAAGGAGGAAAGGAACAGAGGTGTCGAGGGGCAGGGAGGACGCAGGCAAATTTGTCAGCACTCCTGAGCGCGCTCATGAGGGCTATTTTTAAAATCACCATCTGGTGCTTTCACATTTTCAGTTTTTGTTATGTGGAGAGGTCTGTGTGCGAGACAGAGAGAGAGGTGGAGGGAGGGAGAAGGAGGGAAATAGGTTTCTCTGATTCTTTATCAAAGATTCAAGAAGGCCAAGAACTTGGGCCATGCGCCGGCCTTATGAACCTCAGCAAGTTTAGCCTCAAACATTAGGACGTTTCCAGTCACGACACGCGAGTAGCAGACTCGGGCTTCTGGGGCCCGGCTGAGCTGTGCGTGGTACCTCGGCCAGGCTACAAAAGGTTGCTCTCACTTTCTCATCACAACTGCCATCTGCCGTCCTGGGGACAGCTGCTTGGAAAATGAGAAGCCCATAGCATTTCAGAACTGCTTTTCTTGGTGGCGCTGCGTCTACAGAGGATACAACCAGGGGCCCAGGCTCTGAACTAGCAGCCGCTTCTCCTGCCGTTCCTGCTGCTGCTGCTGAAGGGGCCTTGAGGAAACCAAGGGTGAGCAGCACATGCTGCAGAAGGAAAAGCCCTTTGGTCCCAGGGCTAGGAAAGAAAGCAAGGCAGCGGGTGGGGGGAGGTTGGGGGAAGCGGAGGCCTGGAAAACGTGGCATCCCAGATTATCTGCACCGACTTCCCTGCACACATAAAAGTATGTGTCATAGGGGATAGTTTAAAATGCTCACAGTTGGTTAAGCGTCTGCCTTTGGCTCAGGTCATGATCCCCGGGTCCTGGGACTGAGCCCCAGAGTGGGCTCCCTGCTCCTCAGCGGGGAGTCTGCGTCTCCCTCTCTCTCTGCCCCTCCCCCTCTGCTCGAAGAGCTATGGTGCGCCAGATTCTTGATGGGCTGCAGGGATGCAAGGATGTTCGAGATGTGTCTTTGCTTTTCAAGAACTCTCAGGCTGGTGGAGGAACAAACACATTAAAAAAAAAGAAGAAGAACAACAACAGGACAAAATGCAACAAAACGCGACATAAGTCTGTGATTGGAATCAGAACGGCAGGTGCCCGAATCCGGTTAGGGGTGTGCGGAGTGGTAAGAGGGCGAGCGCAAAGACTTACTGAGAAAGTAACGGCGACGCCATGTTTTAACTGATGAGGAGTTAACAAGGCTGGCAAGGACGACGTGAAACGTTCGTCTTCAGGCCCCGCGTGGTGGCGGTCATCATGGTCACGCAGCTCGGGAGTCACATCCGCAGCCATCATTAACCTGGCAAGATCCTGCCATGCACCTGGGAGGCCTCTCAGACCCGCTGCTTGATTTGCAATGAACTCCTATTCTTGTGTAGAAACCAGAAAACCGGAAAGGGGGAAGGAATCCACTACAAGACAGACAAGCGTCTGCTGATGACACCACCAAGACCGGATCTGCCCCAGGGCGCCCCCACCGCCGCCTCCACCTGTCTGTGCCTTCTGCGTCCTTTCAGACTCAGTGTAAATGCCCCTTCTCAAAGCCTCTCCTGACCCTTCCATGGGACGCCATCTCTCTTTTCCGAAGGCCCAGAAGTTTCATTGCTGCTTCTGTGATATCTAGCCCACCCCGCCTTGGTCACAGTTTCAGACATGTATCTTAGTGTCAGAACTCACGGAGGTGAGGGTTGGAAGGAGGAGCCAACCCGCCCCCCCCCCCGGGAGATCCCCCCACCCTGGGTATCAGGAAAGGTCTGGCAGAAGCTGGAACCTTCCAGAAGCCCAGGAGTCTCTGCCTCTCTGCCCACTCCCCACACTGGGCGGTGGCCCTTCTCTGCTAGCCTCAGTTACCTGAAGCCGGTCTTCTAGGTCATCCTCCCACGCTGTGGCAGGGCTTTTTGGGCGGTGGAATGCCCTGCCCCCAACTTGTTCGCCCCAACACCTACCCGAGCATGGCCGGCTCCTGGAGCCCTTCTCAGACCCTTCCCTCTCTGCCCCGCCCCACCCCGTCCAGGTGAGCTCTGTGGCTTTTTCCAGGTTCACTGTGGCCTCCCCATATTTCTGTCACGGCACCTTCCACACCGTTATGCTTCCTTGTCCTCAGGCGGTGGGTGTGAGCCACTGGAGGTCGAAGCCATGTCTGTGTTGTTTCAGGGACCCCGGCACCCAATGAATGGGCAAATGAAGGAATTTATGTTTCTCCCAGGCCTGCCTTAGGGCCAGAAAATGTCTTAACTCATCTTTGTGGCCCCAGCCCAGCCTTGGTCCTCATGCCTTCGATAATGGGGCCTCACCCGAAGGCTGTCTCAGACAGTGAAGCCACCGGCAGACCAGTCGGCTGAAGGTCGCCCTGGGAGTGCACCCCAGCCCCTCCCCGTGGTGCAGACCCGCATTCCTCCTCTTCCTGTTCCCCACCCCTGCCCAGGGCAGCAGGACTGGGTCAGGCCACAGGTGTGCACGCGTGTAGTCCGAGGTCAACAGACAGTCGAATGGCCGGAGGAGCCTTTAATTCATACTCACTGTTTGTTCCGCGACCCTCTTCTCCCCCATGTTATCCACTTCCTATGAACACACCTCACGGCTCTGATGTCAGCGTGAGTGAGGAGGGGTCAGTTGCACCCGTGCCACTGTATGAAGGGGTCCCGAGGCTACTGATCGGTCTGTGGATCCCCCCCAACTCCTGCCCAAACTCTTTCTGGCCCTCCCAGCTACAGCCAAGCCTGGCCTCAACCTCCACCTGGCATGGGGCTGAGATCAGAGACTCCCTGGGATTTATGGAGGGCACAACTGGTACCGCTCTTACGCCTCCAGCCCTGCCCCCTTCTTTGCTGCCCCAGGGACCCGCACCATTTCCTCAACTCCTCCGTTTCTCTCTCCCCTCAGGCCAGGAGGCTCCAGAGTAGCCCCGTGCTGATCAGAAACAAGCAGCTGTGCTCCACAGAGATAAAAATGGTAGGTCAGTGGGACGGCAGAGAGGAGCGCGGGTGTCCCAGGGTAGAGCACTGCCCCCCTCCCGCCGGAGCCCAGTGGAGAGACAACACTTTCTGCAGGGAAGGCTGCAAATAAGGACCTGTGGGTCCTGGGAGCACCGTTACCTGACACAGTATGATGACCCATCTCCATTTTCAACAAACCCAAAGATGAACTAGGGTAGGCGAGTCAGCGAGGTAGAGCCGAGAAGAGCCGCTTTGCTTTGAGATCCTAAAGTGACTCCACTGCCGTAGGGGTTCAGGCGGCTGGGGAACCCTCCCCTGGAACATTTCCCCAACACAGCACAACACACACCCGTACAAGCAACCTGCCTCGACCCTTACAGTCACGAGACAAGCAGTTTCATCTTTGGGTCCATCAATTCAATCAGCGCCTCAGAGTAGAAGCTAAGGAGAGGTCCTGTAGCACCTTCCAACTTGGGGTGGGGGGTCTGTAGCTGGTGGTGCACAATCCGGGGGATGGAGGCTAGCAAGGGTATGGAGGAAACAGGGACAAAGCTCTGTCATCGTCACAGTTGCTGCAGAAAGAGGCCTGCGTCTGGAGGAATGTTCTACAGGTCCGTGTTAGGACTTGGGTCTGTTGAAGGATTAGGGTTAGGGTCAGTCAGGCTTGGGTTGAAGGCCAATTTAGTTAAACAGTTAGGGTTAGGGTTGGAGTTGAGGAAGGGTCTCTACAATCCTGTGGTTCTCCTTTGACCCTGGGCTGACATGCAGTAAGAGGAAGGGCGAGGAGTAGAAGAAAATCAGGAGACCCAAGAGAGCCTCCTTTGAGACGTTAATGGCGAAAGGGCTTTGACCACTAGGATATGAAAGAGATGGGCAGTTTTGCGAAATCTTTCTGTGGGATTTGGAAATCTAACTGAAGCTGTGAGCAAAGGTGCACCTGAACGTTACAGTCCCTGTCATGTTCTTCGTAATTAGGGTCACAGCGTTCGTTATTAGCATTGACTGGAATCTGGGAAACCGGGATTGGGATTTCTCCCGGTCTTATTCCTGGAACCACTGTGTCCACATTTAGAATGCACTGACCCTGGCCCCAAGCGGGCTTTGGCCGGCTGGCTCGCTTGGGACTTCAGCAGCTGCTCTTTTTCTCAAGACCTCTTCTCCGACCTTTGCCCTCGCCCACGCCTGACTGGAGGAGAACCACACACCGTGGTTTTACCATTCACTGCAGATCCCAAAAAGAAAGCCCTCAAGCACTAACGTCAGACCAGTGCATGCAGACCCTGGTGAGAAGCTGGAGATGGTTAGAAAATGAGGAGGAAGTAGATACCCTTGCTTCACTATGTGTAACAGCCCTTCAGCTTCCTCCTGGGGCTGGGGTACTGCGTATCTGCCCTCATCACTGAGACCTCTCCTTTCTCAGCAGGGGGCTGAAGGCAGATGCTGGGGAAGATATAAAAAGACTCCTAAAAATAGAAGGAACTTCCTTGACCCGATAAAGCACATCTATGAAAAACCCACAGCTAACATTGTACTCAATGAATATTGGATATCTTCCAGGCTGGATATTTTCCCCTTAGATCAGAAACAAGACCAGGATGTCCAGTTTTGCTGCTTCGGTTTAACATTGCTTAGGGCAGTTAAGACAAGAAGAAGATATAAAAGACAACCAGATTGGAAAGGAAGACATAAAACTATTTGCAGAAGGCATAATCTTAACACCTAGAACGTCCTAAGAAACCCACAAAAGACAAGCCAATAAATGAGTATGGCAGGCTTACAGGACATGAGACCGACATCAAAAATCAATTCTGTTTCTATATACCAGCAATGAACAATCCAAAAATGAAATTAAGAAAACAGTTCCATTTACAATAGTATGAAAAAATTAAAATACTTAGGAATAAAAATAACAAAATAAATGCAAGACATGTACATCAAAAGCTATACAACATCATGTAAAGAAATTAAAGAAGATCTAAATAAATGGAAAAAAACCATGTTTACAGGTTTTTAAAATGACAATACTCCCAGACTAATCTCAGTCCAATACCTCTCAAAATCTCATACGGCATTTTTTAAGAAACTGATATGCAGATCTTAAAATACATATGGAAATGCAAGAGATACAGTATAGCTTAAACAATCTCAAAAGCAAAGAGCAAAGTTGGAGGACTCACCCTTCCTGGTTTCAAAACCTACTATAAAGCTACAATAATCAGGACTTAGTGGTACTGGCACAAAGATAAACATATAAATCAGTGGAATAAAATTGTGAGTCCAGAAATAGCACCTTACACTTGTGAACAATTAAAAAACTTTTTTTAACAGGAGAAATGAAATTTAATCACATAATATGGAATCTCCATAAGAATAAGAGGTCCTGAACAGTTGATTGCTGACAGAGGTGTCAAAACAATTTAATGAGGAAAGAATAGTCTTTTCAGTAAATGGTACGGAGACAATTGTATATCCACATGCAAAGGAATGAAGTTGTGCCCCTCCCTCACACCATATACAAAAAATAACTACACGTAGATCAAAGGCCTACTTGGGAGAGCTAGAACATCAAACTCCTAGATGAAATCTGGGTGTAAATCTTCATGACCTTGAATAAGGAATGGTTTCTTAGATATGACACCAAAAGCACAAACAACAAAAACTACCTAAATTCGCTTTCATCAAAATTAAAAACTTTTTTGTTGCAAAGAACAGCATCAGGAACACGAAAAGACAACCCACAGAATGGGAGAAAATGTTTGCCAATCATGTATCTGAAAAGGGACTAGAATCCAAAATATATTTTTAAAAAGTTTATAACTCAGGGGTGCCTGGGTGGCTCAGTGGGTTAAAGCCTCTGGCTTTGGCTCAGGTTGTGATCTCGGGGGTCCTGGGATCAAGCCCTGCATTGGGCTCTGTGCAGAGCGGGGAGCCTGCTTCCTGCCTGTCTCTGCCTGCCTCTCTGCCTACTTGTGATTTCTATCAAATAAATAAATAAAATCTTAAACAAACAAACAAACAAAAACAAAAAAAAGTTTATAACTCAACAATAAAAAACGAAACATCCCAACTTCAAGGTGGACAAAATATTTGAATAAACATTTCTCCAAAGAAGATATACAAATGGCCAATAAACACACAAAAAGATGTTCAACATCATTAACAATTAAGGAAATGCAACTGAAACCATAATGAGATATTATTTTACACCCATGAGACCGCCCATAATAGAAAGTGGACAATATGAGTGTTGGCGAGGATATGGATAACCAGAACCCCCATACATTGCTGGTTGGAATGACATCCAGTCAACATATGACCCAGCATTTCCAGCCTAGATCTATACCCAAGAGAACTCAAAACATATGTCTGTACACAAACTTGTACAAGAATGTTCTTAGCAACATTATTCATCATAGCCAAAAAGTGAAAACACCCCAAAGGTCCATCAGCTGATGAATGCAGAAACAAAATGTGATCTATACAGGGGAATTTATTCAGCCAGGAAAAAAGAAAGTACGTCTATATGCTGCAAGCTAGATAAACCTTGAAAACATTTTGTTTCGTAAAAGAAACCAGACAGTAAAGGCCATGAGTTATATCAATTTCATTTATATGAAGTGTCCAGAACAGGCACATCTGTAGAAACAGAAAACAGACAGCGGTTGCCAAGGACTTGGGGAATGAATGAACGAAAATGAGTGCTAATGAGGACAGAGTTTCTTTCTGGGCTGTTGAAAATCTTCTGGAAGTAGATAGTGGTGATTGTTGCACAACTTTGTGATGCTACTAAAATCCACTGAGTTGTACATGGAGATAGTGAACCTTACGGTGTCTGAATTTAAAAAAAAAGATTAGCACTAGGAAAATATTTTTTTAAAAAAATAAAAGCATAGATGGGGCACCTGGGAGGCTCAGTCAGTTAAGTATCTGCCTTAGCTCAGGTCATGATCCCGGGGTCCTGGGATGGAGCCCTGAATGAGCCTTCCTGCTCAGCGGGGAGCCTGATTCTCCCTCTCTCTTCCCCCCAACTAGTGCTCTTTCTTGCTGTCTGTCTGTTGCTCAAATAAATAAATATTGAAGAAAAATAAAAGCATAAAATAGATGAATATCAGAAAAATAAAAATCCTAATAGGACTTGGCTTGTCTGACCACTGATACTCCTGGGTCTGAGTACCCTGGGCCAGGAGTTCAGTTATTTAGTGTAGAAGAAATTACCTAGTGAAAGTTATGGCTGTGAGTCACCAGGGATAGCCACCTTAGTTTTATGTAAATTATCTCTTATTACATGTCTGCTCCAAACAGCTCATCTTCCCCTTAAAATATCTATTTCATAGTCCTTCTGTTACGTGCATTGCTCTCCAACACACACTTTCAAGCCCCTTCAAAGTAGGATGTCAGACTGGATATACTGTAGGGACCCATTCTTTAACATACGTATGTTCACTGGTTTCAGAAGTCTATTTACGTAACTGAGTTCATTTCAATGAGTATTTATTGACTGCCTACCACGGGCCAGGTACTTAGGTAATAGCTCAGCTACAAAGGAAAAAAAGTAAACAAAAGAATTAGACATAAGCCCTACCTTTAAGGAGCCAGTGGGTGAACAAATAATGATAATAAACTGATGAACAGAAGAGAGAGAGACCTGGTAGGATGGGAAATGGAAAGTAGGAAAGCAGGTATCAGGGAAAAGCATGGAGAGTAGGATTCAGGGAAGTCTTTCCCAGAAGATGATGCATAGTTTTTAAGACTGAATAGGAGTTGCCCACACGACACACGTCTTCTCAGGGACAAAAATGCTGTCTTCGGTAGCTTTGTTCTGGGGCAGGCCCCGATGGCCCACTCATGCCTACAATAGCACTGGCTGGATTTAGGGGTTTTTGAAAAGGGGTCATGCTAATCAGGAGAAGGTAGGGTTTCCTCCATCTTTCTTGGCAACAGAGCCAACTTCAGAAGAAAATTTAAAAAGGCAGTGTGACTCCTTCATTCTTGTCCCTTTTATATATCTAGAAACCTCTACCCAGGTTCTCACCAAAGACTTTGCTGCCCTCACGTCTCCCAGGTGCTCCTGTTACCAGATCATTCCCTCCTCCCCCAGCTGCTTCTCCTCAGCTAATGAGTTACAACAATCTGATTAAATAACATAAGTGATTGGCATTTCTATAGATCTGATGTTCAGGTTCTTCTCTATTTTCAAGCACCTCCGAAGGCCCTTAACCCACAGTAACTTGCAGGCTTGTTGTGTTGTACATTTAAATCACAAGCCCCTCCATGAATAGCCCAGTTGAACACCTGCACCTCATCCCGTGATTATCTTTTCATTGTCATGACTACGAGATCTTTTGAGAAATGGCCGGGGGGTGGGGTAGGTTAGTGAAAGCCTAAGCTCCAAAAGAAAACCAATATTTAGTGACACTAATAAATCTGGAAAAGTTCAAGAAAATAGTGTCTTAATCAGGAATACTATAACTATATGATTTATTATAGTCCTCTAGGAAGGGCACATTTAAAATCAAATGTGCTTCAACGTGGGTTCATTCATTCACTAATCTGATCAACAAATATTTCTTGAACAGGCACTGTGTTAGAACCTGGAAATATAAAAATAGGGACATGGTCTCTGCTCCCTTGCAGCTGAAAGTCTATGAGGGAAAACAGACACCAAGCAAGTAAATACAATAAAAACCTGAGGAATATGCTAGTAGAGGAAGCCTAGGGCACAGTGAGAAGGTAAGACAGAGGACCACCGAACAGTGGTCCAGGAGTCAGTGGTGTCCGAGAGAGGCTGACTGGTGATCTGAGACCTGAAGAATGTTGGGGGTGAGCTAAACAAAGAGAATTGGAGGCTTTACCAATCATGAGGTTTCTAACTTCAAAATCTGATAACCAGGGAAGAACATAGACCCTATGACTTATGGGCAGGTGATCCTCTCTGGTTCATTCATATCACAAAAGAATATAGAGTGATTCCAACATTAAATACAACTTGTGTTTGTTAAGGTGGTGCATTATTATTTAAATTGGAATAGTTTTGGGCAGTGTTCTAAATGAGACTTTCTTTCTCAGGTACAACCAAGAACTGTGATAATCCCTCATAATCTGAAACCATCCTTTGAGAATTTTATGAGTCATAGGTAAGTTTAACATTTAAATCAGGACATTATTTTAATTGTTTATATCAGTTTGGGGACACAGGACAGTGGATTGAAAAACATAAGTAGAATATTCAGGGAATACTTAGGGAATGGGCTTCTCCGCTGAATTCATTTCCTGGTTAAACCAAAGAATTAGACCAGAAAAGTTGTTTTCACCTTTTTGCTTGAACAACTATTGAAATTATGGTAGAAAGTATCCTCTGCCTTTCCATCTTCCCAAAAACAGTACTAAGAAGAGGATACGAGGTTCCTTTGGTAACTCAGGCAGAACTGAGTACAAATTTTCCATGTAGATGTAGATGACTTATGTAATTCAGAAGGTACGGGACATCACACATAAGCTGTTCTCAGCCCATCAGTTTGTCTGGTTGTCCTTTGCTACTTTCTTATCAAGATCAAGTATATAAAAAATAAAATCCTGTCAGAATTTTGTTTAGTTGGGTATCAGGTCCCCGCCCCCCCCACCACACCGCATGTTTAGCTATCAGAAAGGGAAAAGGGACTTTAATGAAGCTTTTACTTCATTAGACTCACCCAGTGTCTCACCGGATAAGACACCAGTGTAGGTAGACTTGCCTTACAGTAGATGGTTGGAATGTAGGCATACAAACAGGGTCGGATTTGCGGGGATTAACCAAAAAAGTTATATGTGATCCGATGACAGTCTTTTTTTTTCCTCATAGAGAAAGCAATAATATGGAAAAATCAGTAGGTCTTTTTGTAACCTTACGTTGCACAGCAGTAGATTTATGATTCCTTTCATGAAATTTGCTCCACTACATCTGCAGTGTAGACTCAGATGCAGGGAGCCCATGTGCTGGGCGCCTGGCTCAGAGAGATAGGGTCAAAGAGGAATGGGTAGTGTTTTTCAACCCAACACACTCCAGCACTGATAACATTTACCTGCAACTTTTCCAAAGCTCCTGTCAGATCATAATAAAAGCAATTCAAATAAATATTCTGTATAGACTTTAAATAGAAAACAGAACTATCTAAAGTCTGGGATTTCTGAGCAAAAGTGTCACTCCTCTGTGATAGAAACTTTTGAGATTTGTTGCCCCAGTTCATTTATCTTGCAAGTCTGGTATTTTAAATAAAGTCCCAAATTCCAGAATCATTACCTGTTATTAAACAAGTAACTCTTATTCCTTGAGCTAGACTAAGGATTGAACCAAAACTAAAATCACGTCTACACCAACCTGAAGTATCATTAGATGATTCTTTTTTTTTTTTCAATGTAATGAAGGAAAACAGACCACTTCTGTTTGAGATTTAGCTAGTGTGACTATAAAGGAGGGTCCTGGTTCTGTTTGTAGCTTATAAAATCTGTTCTTATGGTTTTTGAGTCTCACTACATATATGGGGAGGTAGAATTGTCCTTACTGAAATAAGAGTTTTTACAGTGACTTTAATTGCAACCATTGTAGAAGTTAAATGATGTTTGTTGAATGGAAGGAATGAAGGAAAGAAGGAAGGGAGGGGGGAGACAGAGAGAGGAAATATGAGTGGGGAGATATATGTTTATTGAATTGTAGTGCAAACAAATCTTAAATTACTCAGTCTTAGACACCTTCCTCTTTGTTCAACATGGGTAATAGAAAGAATTTTTCTTTTCCTTAGTCCCACTGATTCTTCCAATGGCAACTGAGTAAAATAAACTGGCCAGATGGGCCATATTTTTGGTAGCAAAATAAAAATAATCTTGGAAAACCTTGGTAGAAATGGAGACAATGAACTGAATGCAGATCTCACCAAAGTTTACAGATATGTCAGTCTTTAGAACTTAAGCAATTTAATGTAGAAATGGTTTGGACTCATATCATTTTGGTCAAGGGTCATTTCCACAGCCGTTGCCACCAGGAGAAATAAATGTCATCAAGACATTTTCTTTAAAATTGGAAGGTGAAGTAAGTGATGGGATTAAGGAGTAGATTTGTGATGAGCACTGGATGATTAAAATAAAAATGAACTAACTAAATAAATAAAAATATTCTTTATAAAAATTGATTTAGGGGCGCCTGGCTGGCTCAGTTGGAAAAATGAGTTTGTTTTTTTTTTAAAGACTTTATTTATTTATTTGACAGACAGAGATCACAAGCAGGCAGGGAGGCAGGCAGAGACAGAGGGAAGCAGGCTGCCCGCTGAGCAGAGAGCCCCATGCGGGGCTCAATCCCAGGACCCTGGGATCATGACCTGAGTCGAAGGCAGAGGCTTTAACCCACTGAGCCACCCAGGCGCCCCAGGGTCGTGAGTTTAAGCTCCATGTTGGGTATAGAGATTACTTACATAAGTAAATATTTTAAAAATTTATTTAAAGTTGGATTGACAACTAAGTATTTCTAAATGGTTCCTGTCTTGCTTTAATAACACTCAGCAGTGGAAAAACCAGTCTTACCGAATAACATTGATGGGAATAAAAGAAGAGATTTTAAGACAAAAAAAAAAAAAGAAAAGAAATAATAAAAAGGTTCTCACCAAAATACTCTGTTTTGCACTTGAAGGGTAGATTAGTGATCTGGAAGAGTTGTTCATTTTTTTTTTTTTTTCTGGAAACTGGATTCTTGATTCCTTCTGTTTTTAGACCATACATGATCTGACAATGAATAAAATATTTTTTCCAATGAAGTTTTTATCACAATCCTTAAAAGAGCTTGAGATGTGGTGGTCTCTGGCCCCATCATCTTATACTGTAGCCGACTGGTCTGAGCACCAGGTTAACAGGTGCTGGTTTCAAGAGAGCATCTGCGTTTTCAAATACATAGAGACACATTCCTTTCCACCAAGTCTTAGCCACATAACTGATGTGTTTTCTTGCTTCTTCCAAACAGAATGATGAATCTTCATCCACCAAAAGCCCAGACTGTAGCCAAACATTCCCATAATGACATCTCAACAGGTTTGTGTTCTTTTAGAGTACTTGTAGCAGGGGGATATCCTACCCCCCAAGTAGTAGGATGAAAAGTTTAATCCCTAAGATGGTTTCTCAATTTTCCGAACGGGTTCCCTCTGTCTGCCTCTTTCTCTTCTCACATACTGCTTAAGGCCTGTTTTGATTGCTCCCCAGCCCCCGCTTCAGGCCAGCCCCTCCTGTCCCCTCCCCAGGCCTCAATGACCTTCATCGGTGCCTTGTTCCTTCCCACGTCTTCTCCAGGCAACAGGGAATCTTCCCATTCTTTCTAAAGAGCCCCATAATCTACTTGCTGAAGAGTTTTCATGGAAATGAGGGTCAAAGTAGGTAATTCCCTTACAGGCAGTTTAATTGGGAAAGGAACTGCATCCCCACACCCTTGGAATGGCCTCTCCAAAGCCCTGAACCTCCACCCCACAGGCTTCCTAAACCACCTGCCTTCTGGCAGCTGCCCAGTGCTATTCTTAGGTTGCTATTAATAGACAAAAGGATAGCGGCTTCAGTTCCGGCTTCAGCATCGACCTATGTCTCATCTCTCAAGAGACGTCAACACTGAGCTGGTGAAGGTGGGTGCAGGTCATTCTTTGGGGGCAGCTCAAGGGTTTAGTGCAGTAGAGGCTGTCATGTTAGTAAGCTTTTCCATCTTCTCATTTGCTCCCATATTGACTGAGGCCACCTCCAACTTTTCTCTCATTTGATATGCACAATAAGGAAAATCGAGATCCCTTATTTGCTTTATACAAATGGGAAAGTCTAAGCTCCTTCTGCAGGGGAGCTAGCCAGAATTGCCCAAGAAGGCATCCAGGGAGGAGATTTGAAAATAGAAGGGATATCTTGAAGGGAGGCTAAAAGCGCAGACCACAGGCTTGGGTAGTCAGTTTGGAGATATTCACACGAGCAGAGTGGAGTGAAAGACTGCCAGTCCCAGCCATTCCCTTGTTAGGTGTCCGGAAACATTGGCCTAGCTCATGGATCTCATTTAGCCAAAATGAACTAAAGAGCCAAGAGCTAGGAACATCCATCCAAGAAAAGCTCCCCCTCCACCATTTGCTGGTCTGTGACCACCTCACTCTCTGGAAGGCACGGGAACATTGAGGGACAGGCATGGGCGCTTGGTTTCAGTGTTCTCATTTCTGGTCACACACTCATTCTGAGTTTTCCTCAAACATAGAGTTTTTCAGGACTGCCTTGCAAAGGAGTAGAATACACACACACACACACACACACACACACACACACACACACATGCCTTTCCCTCAGCAAGAATGTTTATTTTGTGATTCTAAGGGCAATGCGATAAGTTGCCTTTCATCGATTTATTAACCATAAGAGTGTCGTTCAGTCACCAATATAAGAGCTAGACTTTGTGTACATAAGGTCAGCACATGATGTTCTTGGACATATTGTGACTCTGGCCCACAGAGTCCATCCAAGGGCGGCTATCTTAGAGGCAGGACTTCAGGGAGAGTGCTGAAGGAGCTGGCTAGGAGCTGAAGCTGGGTAGATCTACTGTCCATGCCAGCTGTGACATTTCTGAGCTGAGCTTTGCTCCCGTTGGTGCCCTCTGAGAGGAGGTAAAAACACTAGTCTAGAGGCAAGGAGACCTGGGTTCAGATCCGAGTCTTGCTGCACAGGACTGGCCAAGTTGTTTAAACTGTCTGGGCCTCTGGGTTCCCACCTCTGAAGCCAGAGAAACCTTCTGCTGTCTGCCTCCCTCTCCTACCGCCCACCCCGTGCTGCTCCTGCCCTGCCCCTGAGAGCCAGACTCTCAGTACGAGCAGCCTTCACCTTTGATCAACCCAGAAAAACTGCTGAAACTGCCACCCACCTGTGGACATGCTACAAAGACCAAATGGCTGACTCATCCCAGTGAACGTAACTGCGGGTCGTTGTCTAACTCCTCTCCTTGATCACACAGTGACTTCTAGCATGTTTCTGGATTTGGATAACCCTTGTATATTATCAGTAATTATTAGTGAGAACTAAGTAAACAGAAAGAGCCTATCTCCAGAAGTTATGGGGATTTCTTCTGGATCCATTTATCTTGACTCTGGCGTTGAGTCCAGAATACCATGACACGTACAGGCTCCGGTTGTCCATAAACATCAGGAGAGACGTGAACAACCTGCTCTGGCCTGCCACGGGCATGTTGGTGTGACATGGTTCAAAGATCACCGGGCTAGGATTAAGGAGATCTGGGTTCTGGTCCTCAGTCCATCAGTGCCTGTGACCCTGGACCTCTGTTTCCTCTTCATTACAGTGATAAGACCAAACCAGGTCCTAGGTCTGTGGTCTTGCAACATATCTTAGCTCTCATTCAGCTGGAGTGAGGAGCTTTTCCAGAGAATTCGGGACTCCAGTTCCCTTCCATTCAGGGACTTCCAACAGAAAGACGTTATCCTTTAAGCAATGTGTCTTCTGGGAAAGCTGAATATTCACCAACATTTTTGTAAATAAAATCAGATTTTAAGAAGAGGTCAGGAGGATGAGGATTTTAAAGAACCCTAGTTTACATTATTTCATAAAATGAAGGTTCCTTTTGAAATGCAAGTGCTATTGTAGACTTTTTGTTAAGATCATGTTCGGTTTTTGAAGATAGAACTGTGTATGTGTCCCTGAAAAGTCTTCTTTTTTTAATATTTATTTTTTAAAATTTTAATTCAATCAGTTAACAAATAATGTATTATTGGTTTCAGAGGTACAGGTCTGTGATTCATCAGTCTTATGTAACACCCAATGCCCATTACATCATATGCCTTTCTTAACGTCCATTACCCAGTTACCCCATCCTAAGAATAGAATCTTCTTTTCCCTTTAATGCACATTATAACTCCAGATACATCTTATATTCACTTTTTATTTAATTGACAATAACTCCTAATACTTGAATTTTGTTTCAAGGTACTCTTTTCTGACCTCTTTGATAAGATTTTTAGGACCTTAAATCTTCTGCAGGATAAGATGGTTCTATTAAAAGGAATTCTTATGTGAATTTTGAATCTGTTTTATAAGGTCAAAAATAAGTCTTTGGTGACCTTTAAATATTTTGAGTGTCTTTAAAAATATATTCTAAGAAGCGCTTGTTTTTCCTCCTCCTTGCACTGTCCTGCAGAGAGTGTCCACTACAGACTGCCCATTCTGGGCCCCAGGACAGCTGTCTTCCACGGACTGCTGGCGGACACCTACGCAACCATGCAGGAGACACGACTCTCCTCCTTGCCCAGAAAAGAGCCAGTGGGCAAGACAATGAGGCAATGAATGAGTGGTCGGAGCTCATCACCTTCCGGACTCACAAAGAGAAAACAAGTTAACCAAGCCAGTTTCTGACAGATTAGCCTAATTTCCTCCTGTCACCAAAAAGGTGACTCACTTTTGCTTTCTTGAGAGTTGTTCGAATTCTAGCTCCTGCCACTGTCTTCTCACTCACTTTTCCTAAAGACAAGTGGTTAAATTTCCGTGACTGTAAAAGTTAACTGATTAAAATGGAACATGTTGAGTGTCAGGTTTTTTTTACGATTTGTAACTGTGTTGTGGTAGACAACATCCTTCAGTTTCTAAGATTTGGGTTTTCTTGCAAATTATTTCAGCTCTTCCTCAGGGCAGGGGGCTGGAGATGGCTCCCGGAGGTCTCTTGTGAGTTCAACCTATTGTGAATACAGGAGAGAAATGGAGCTCACCCTCCTGTCCTTACCTCTGTCAGTTAAGTGGTAGATGACAGGAGACGGTGACGTAATGGGAAAATGGCAAGTGATTAGTGACTACAACTCCCCAGGACAGGACACGTGCCTTGTCTCGCCCCCGTCGTGTAGTGCCCTGTGTAATTACCGGATACTCATCTGATCTTTGCTCACTCATATCTAAATCACATGCTTGCATTTTGTTCTTTGGTTACTTTGGTTTGAGAATGTCTACCTTCAGCTCTGTCTTGGTCCACGTGTCAGCAATGTGAGGGAGACAGAGGAAAACTCTAGGCTTGCAAATATTGTATTTATAGGCACAAATGCTCCACATCCAGCTTAAGGAGGGCTCCTATAAAAAGGGTCTCTTCCATTCTTTAGGATACAGTGGGCTTGTGGAATCCCAGGACCCTGGCTAAATGGACACTGGGCCCACATGTGAGAACCAGAACCAGCCTCTGTGCTGACTGCATTTGAAGAATGGGCTTCAGGAATCTTTACCAAATGGCCTGGGACCTAAATTGACCTCAGTTCTTAAACACACACACACACACACACACACACACACACATTTAAAAACAATCCCCCACCCCCAAACCAGAAAAATTCGCTCAGTTGCCCTATATTTATGGTAAGTCATGATTCTTGGTTTCAGTTCAGTTAGAGTTCAATAAATCCAAAAATAGTATGTGCTTCCCCTCAGAGCACATAGGTATTATGAACCCGCCTCAGATCATTGCCGAAGGACAGACAAATCATGAATAAAAATGTTTCTTTCTTCTTTTTTGTTTTGCAACTTAATGTATCCTGTAAAAGGATTTGGGGGTACCTCTACCCCTGAATTAAGGGGAGATACAGGCCCCAAGCACAATTATTTGGAGCTTTTGAGATAAACTGAATATTACATACTTAGGTAGATAGAATGCTTTCTAAATCTCAAAAAGTCCCCCCTGGAGTACAAAGGTATTTCTAAAATTTCATGAGAAAGAATAACATTCTGGTGTTTGCCAATGTTCTAGTGTGGTGACTGAAAATGATGGTCTGTATCAGTGGTTCCCAAACTTTTTCATCTTAGGAAACTTTTATACTCTTAAACTCTTAAAGACTGAGAGCCCTAAAGATCTTGTATTTTTTCTTCAGTTTTTTAAGTTTTCAGATTTTTTTGAGAGAGAGTGAGCTTGCGGGGGAGGGGGAGGTAGACAAAATCTAAGATTCTAAAGCAAGTTCCACGCCGTGTGGAGCCCAATGCAGGGCTCAGTCTCATGACCCTGAGATCATGACCTGAGTCAAAATCAAGAGGCGGACGCTTAATTGACTGAGCCACGCAGGCGCCCCCCTAAAGATCTTTTTTTTATGTGGGTTATATCTACTGATATTTATCGCATTAGAATTTAAAATGGAGAAAGTTTTAAACACAGTAATACACAAGCACACCTTCTAGTAGCTGTCAAAATGATCACATTATCACACGTCATATAATCTCTGGAAAACTCCTGTAGCCTTGGGAGAGAAGAAAAGTAACAAGGCAAATAACATCTTAGTATTATTATGGAGAAAATTTTGACCTCACAGACACCCCAGAAAGAACTTCAGAGACCCCCCCAGCTGTCCCCAGACTATACTTTGGGAACTTCGGTATGCATGATATACCGTTCCATCCCTGGCCTTGCCGGGAAAGGGATGCCAGGATGCTTTCACTCACTCACCCGTGTACTCTGGTCTCTTGGAGGAGGTCTTCAAGAGAAGGCAGCAGCAAGTTTTCCAAGTGTGATTATATTAAATTCTGCCCCCCCTTGCCTCCCTCTGCTCACATTGTTTACTTAACAACCTTAATTCGGTTTCTCAGAGAGTGTCCTGGTGAGACTAGAATGAGATGACCGGTTGGCACAAGAACTCTCATTCCTTCTGAACTCTCCATTTCTCTCCATGGATACTTGTTTGCTTTTGGTTAGTATGAACTCATTTCCCAGAATCTGAGGGGTCAACCTGGACCCAATGTGATCTTGGCATATGAGTAAAGTCCCATCAGCGTCTTTGTTGAACATTAGCTGGCTGGCAAATTTTCTTTTTCCTTTACTCTTGCAACCACATTGTGTAGAGTAGTAACACTGGGGGGTCAAGGTTGGGAAGTCTAGATCTTGACAGTGTCTCCACATGTCCAGCTAAGGCCACGATCAGTTGTCTCCACATGGCTAGCCCAAGGCCACCATCTCCGTTTAAACTGGCAAAGAGGTCTATGTGGATCCTGCCTGATTTTTTTACCACTAGTAATGTTTTTTTTTAATTTTTTTTTAATTTCTTTTAAGCATAACAGAATTCATTGTGTTTGCACCACACCCAGTGCTCCATGCAATATGTGCCCTCCTTAATCCCCACCACCTGGCTCCCCCAACCTCCCACCCCCCGCCCCTTCAAAACCCTCAGATTGTTTTTCAGAGTCCATAGTCTCTCATGGTTCACCTCCCCTTCCAATTTCCCTCAACTCCCTTCTCCTCTCCATCTCCCCTTGTCCTCCATGCTATTTGTTATGCTCCACAAATAAGTGAAACCATATGATGATTGACTCTCTCTGCTTGACTTATTTCACTCAGCATAATCTCTTCCAGTCCCATCCATGTTGCTACAAAAGTTGGGTATTCATCCTTTCTGATGGAGGCATGATACTCCACAGTGTATATGGACCACATCTTCCTTATCCATTCATCCGTTGAAGGGCATCTTGGTTCTTTCCACAGTTTGGCGACCGTGGCCATTGCTGCTATAAACTTTGGGGTACAGATGGCCCTTCTTTTCACTACAGCTGTATCTTTGGGGTAAATACTCAGTAGTGCAAGTGCAGGGTCATAGGGAAGCTCTATTTTTAATTTCTTGAGGAATCTCCACACCGTTCTCCAAAGTGGCTGCACCAACTTGCATTCCCACCAACAGTGTAAGAGGGTTCCCCTTTCTCCACATCCTCTCCAACACATGTTGTTTCCTGTCTTTGTTTATAAGAAATCGTAGTAAGCACACCAACCATCATTTCTTTTTATACTACGGGGGTCAAATGGTTGACTCTGCCATCATCTTGATGTAATCTTTTCTGTGCTGAGTTGGATCCTGGGAGGTAATAGAGTAGACTTGTCATTTACTACTTTACCTACTGCATGATCCTAAGCTTCATCCAAAAACCTCTCATAATTGGGCCCAGACAATCTCTTCATTCATCATGTTATTCCTGGTTCAAAGTCATGTACAGTACAGGTTAATTTTTTTTAATATTTTATTTATTTCTTTGAGAGAGAGACAGCAAGAGCATGAGCAAGGAGAAGGTCAGAGGGAGAAGCAGACTCCCCGTGGAGCTGGGAGCCAGATGCGGGACTTGATCCCGGGACTCCAGGATCATGACCTGAGCTGAAGGCAGCCGCCCAACCAACTGAGCCACCCAGGCACCCTCAGGTTAATGCTTTTAATGGATAATCTTGGGTATTTTTTTTTTAATTCAAAGCTAATGCTTGATTTTTCTGTTTTAAAAATAAATGACTCTTGTTATGATAAAAATTCGTAGACAGCTCTTCCATCTTCCTTCATCCTAAAGGGGAACTTAAAAACCAATCAATCAGTGTAATTCCTTTCTCTCCAGAACGGAGAGAAATGCTATGTTGAGGAAAATCTATGCTGGATCTTTATAAAAGAACTCAGGCATATGTCACAAGGCCATTGTCACTTCTAGTCCCCCGTTTAACCTTGGGAAGTCCTGGGGGCCTTTACTGCCATGTGCTCTGCTCAGGGGCACCCATCTCTTTCCTGGTTCCTGACTGTCAAGGCTCACGGTTTTACACATCAGAACCACCCAGCTTCTTGCATACGACCAAGAACCAAGAACTCCAAATAACAGAAGTGGAACAGAGTTGGCAGAACCACCTTGTCCCCTCCTAAGGAAAGCCCAATTTGGAATGTCCTGTTTGGGTCTAGTTACTCAGGTTGAAGGAGGTTTTAGGGATGAGGAGGATATTGCCTGATAGAATCTGGAAGATTTCCAAGAAAAAGAGGAAGCACAGAATTTGTTTCTAATATTAATAAACCTAGAAACTAAAACCTTAGAATCAAGATAATTAGAAAATTTAGAAATAGATAAAATTTCTCTAGAGAAGACAGAGATGATCAATCTTGTTTCAACCATGTACCTCTCGTGCCCCCCTTAATTTAGCACCTCAAGTACAGGCCCTGTTTCATACATGCAGTTCTTATCTCTCTAGAAAAATTGTCTAACTTAATGAGGAACAGGAGCTACCTAGATGCATACTTAAAAGATACTTAGAAGAAAAGTCCATTCCTAGATTGTCAAGCGATGTGAGGCAACAGGTGCTGAGTTCCCTGTATTGGGGGCAGTGAGGGGACAATGGATTTAGGTATTAGGAACGAATTTCAGCTGGAGAGAGAACACACGTACACATAAGCCAAACGCATGTGGACGGGTCAATACGTAAATAAGCATGCATTACTCTCCACTATAAAACCCCAGTGATGTCAGCAACAAGGTTTTCTGCAGCACCAACCGCAGAGCTCTCTGGACAGTAACAAAGATATAATTGTGTGACCTTGTCAGTGAAGTCGGGTGGAGGAGAAATGGCCGTATTTACCCTCACAGAGTGTTATCTCCCCCTGCAAAGTCTTTGCTGAGGCATTTCACTGCCTGGCCAGTAAAGTGCAGAGTAGTGAAATTAGGCATTGCCAGATGTTTGCTGTTTTGAGGAATAATTGTTCCTAAACCCCTTGGGATTGGATGCCACTCTATCTTGTGTAACAGGATCCAATGGGTCATATAGCCAAAAATCAGGAAATC